CTCCCGACATGACTATTAAAGTACCCTCCAATAAAGATCTGTTCATTTTGTGGTATGGTTGAATCAACCCCTTCAAGTCTTCCAAAATAGTTCCTTAAGATTGGCTTCTACCTCAGCTTGAGGTGCATAAGCACTAATAATATTGACAGTCTCACGTTCAACAATCATTTTTAAGAAAATAAATCTGTCTCCAATTGTATTAACCTCTACCACGTTCTTCTTCCACTCTTTATCAACAATGATACTCACCCCATTACGTGTGCTTACTTTTCCAGTATACCGAAGTTTGAAACTTTAAATACCTTTAGCTTGTTCACCAGGCCATTTAGTTTCCTGCAGATGCAAGATATTAATTTTTCTTTGAATTATAGCTCCTACCACCTTCCATAGATTTACAATTCAAGGTCCCAACATTCCAAGTGCTAAATCTAATCTTATTCATATGGACTAACTTCTTTAGCCGTGCTCATCCAAAATAACACAGTAGCCCTTGCTCATTTAACACTACATCTGGACGTCGATGTAATGGCTCTAACATACTTATCACTGTACTCGAGCCATGCAGCACGTTACTTATAAGCAACAACCTAGCATTAGCACAAAAACGTCTATTGTCCATATCTATAAGAGATTCAACAAAGTTTTACATTGGTTGTTAAGGGCCGAAAACAACCCTCCTCCTTTACTCAGGTTTGGGATCGGCTATATAATGTAGACAGAGTTAAAGTGGTAAACCAATAAATAAATAAATATGGAGAAGATGTACAGGAAGAGAAGCATGTTTTGAAGGTTGGTGAAGAATATTTTGCATAAGTTTGTTGTTTCATGATGTCTGTTCATATGTAATTCCTGACATTGGTTGCTCTAGATTTTTTTTTTATTCTTTTGACTTTGGTTTGATCATAAAATTAAGATATTCACTTCTCTCCACCCTACTATTGGAATAAATAGGCAGCCAGACTTTGGTTGGATGAAAAGATTACAACAGATACTTGGTCAGAAGCACCGGCGGAACCTGCATGTATGCACTTTACAGATAATGCTGTTGCATGACACCTTCAGGGTCTTTGTTCTGATCTTGCAGTTTGATATGTGTAGGCAATATATGTTCTTCACCCAACTTTTGGGCTAAAAGCAGCAATACTCACACTTCAGTGGTTTGTAGACAACGTGGTATGTTAGAATTGGATTCTATTCGTGGAAGTTAATCCTATTTGAGCAGCACACATTTATGCTTATTATTTGCAATATACTTTTAGGTTTGGAACAAAGTGGTATATGCTGATCGGCTTCTGCAACTCTTCAGATATGTGCCTCGTGAGCAGTTGACCATCCCAGATTTTGTTTTTCAGTTGAGTTTCTGTTTCATTCTTAGCCATGAACATTTGTTCTCATAATGTACCTGCACGGCTGCACGGTCTTGCTTTCAATTTAAGACTTCTCAAAGTACTAGGGTTTTGAGCATTTGTTTGCATATAGGTGTGCCTTTCCATTTGTTTAGTAAAGGGGTGTCCTTGCTGGTGGATGAGAGGGTAGCTGATATAGGAAATCCTTCCCTTCCTTGTTCATACTACTAATTGACCTCCCAACTCCTACTCCTTCCGATCTTTTATATATAAGTCACATTTTAGAAATAATTAATGGTCCTTTTTATAAGTAATTATGAATAAAAAGATGGTTCATTAATTACTTTTATTCCAATTTTACCCTTTCGCAATTTTCTGAGTAGAGTAAAATATTACATATGAGGGAGAAAGTTTTTAAAATATGCTGCATTTAACCAGGATAAACTGGGAATTTTTTTTTCCTTTTCAAACAACATTAATAATTTAATTACTTCTCTTAATTCCATTGACGTTAAAAGTGACTTGTATGTAGGATCAAAGGGAGTATTTCTTTGTAAATATTAGTGTTGTGAAGGGGGAATTCCAATTTCCTTAGTAAATATTAGCATTGTCAAATACTCCAGTACGTTGTTGTATTTATTTTCTCTTCTATGAAATGTTTATCCTTGCTCACCCTGACCGTTTTTCAATAAAAACACTTGTTAGAAAATAAATGGACGCGTGGAAGTTCTAATCTGTCATGTTGTTGGTTGAACCGATCAATAGTGCTCCAGCAATGCAGTTCTCTGACTTGTTCTGTTGATGCAGGCATGACTTAGAAGTCAATGGAGGAAAGGGTGTTCGTGTGGATCACAGAACAAAATATGTATATTAATCAAAGGTCCTTGAGCTTCATATGCAATTCCACCACCTGTTGATACAAGAGGATCACTGGCTTTAGTTTCTCCATCAACATTTTTCATTGGTTAGTGGATTAGGGTCTCTCTGTTTGAAATGTAACGTGTCAGAATCTTGCTTTTCTCACTTCTATTTATTTTTTAGGCTTTTGATCTATTAAGCATTGATTTGTTTCTCTTTATAGGTGAAATAAAATTATTTTCTCTTGTCATCTCCTTATTGAGTTTTCAACAAAATTTAATGTCGTTTTGGTTACTGTTGAATCCAGACGGTTGTCGATGTAAAGTGGCTTGTTGATTTGTAGATGGAACATTTGGATTACTTACATTGAATGTTTGTTTTGTGCTCCCATAGTTTTCTCTTTAATTTCTTGAATATCATTGGTTTTTTTGTATGTAAATTTGTGTACTGTATATTTATGGATGAATTAAATTTTTTAATTCATCAAAAACTAAAATCAACGGCAATCAGCAAATCACAATGCTATGATCGATATAAAAATTGTTAGAAAGATGAAATTGTGCAAAATTATTATGTGAAATTGGGGTTTGTTAATCTTGCGTTCCATTTAGTTATTCATTTTAAAGTGTAATTTATGGGTAGATTCATTTTATACACCAAAACTACTCATTTATATGTAATAATATCAATGTATTTTTAGGTGCAGTCACTTTTCTTATTGCTGCTTAAATTGGGAACTTTGAGAATTTCGAATTTCATTGACCACTGTTATATTTTAAGATAACATATTCCAATCATTTGGATTATCCTAAAGTAGCAGACAACTATTAAACCATTGTTTCGTGGACAGGGGTTGGACTGTCTCGATTTGGATATGAAAATTTGTTTTGATTGTTGAATCAAGTTGGATCAAAGTTAAGCTGTCAGTGGGTGTGGATGTGGCTCAGATGGTAATAGTTTAGATTCCTTAAACATTATTTTAGAGTTTGATTCTTAAAGATGTATATGGAAAATATTACTTGAGAGAAAGGATAACTCTTTAAATAGCGTTCAGATTTTTTGAGAGATTAGTCTTACAGTTGCTAACTGTGGAGATACCTTAGGCCAAAAAAAAAAAAAGAACTTAAACTGTCAATGAAGAAAATTGAACGTGAATAAAAAACTGGACTAGTTTTCAGGGGAGGGGGAAAAGAAGGGTCTAAACTTAAAAAGGCAGTACTTCTAATAAAATTGCTTAAAATAGGAGAACACTCATAAGTTATTAAAAAAAGGCAAAAAAATTTTAAAAACCAGAAAAAAAATGAAAGATTAGACGCTATTGAGAGTCAACTTTATTTTTAAACTCTTTCTATATACTCCTTCCATTAAAAAATATAAAGCATTTTTTGAGTATTTGGATGTTAAAAAATACAAAATATTTTTAGTGTTTTAAAATATAATCATTGTATTTTTTTTCAAAAGTGCCTATAATAAATAAATCTTTTATATTTACTTTAAAAATGAAACACCCTTATTTAAATGGTGTTAATTTGAAGAAATTAATTATTTTATTAGGATGAGATTAAATTAAAAATATTTTATATTTTTAAATGGAAGAAGTATATAATGTCATTAGGGAATTTATTTTTTAGGAAGATATTGACAATAACAGATATAAGTACAAATATAAATACTTTTGAATCTAGTTATACTTGATTTAACCAACATCTACCTATATTTATGAAGTTATGAAATTATAATTTATAATATTGTTCATTTAGAGTTACACTGTGTTATTTTCAATATTCATCTTCTACATTTTTAATAGTTATTTTTAGTACTTAGTTTTATATCTTCTTTTTTTTCAATTGTCACTTTATATGTTTTCAATACTTATCTCTCATGGCTTTAATAGAGAAAAATACTTATTTATGATATAAAAATAATAACCATAAAATAAATTATTTTAAAAATATTTTAGTAAAATTAAAATCAAATTATGAAAATTAATAAGTTCTATTTATTTAAGAACGGCTAGAAAATTCATCAGACATATGTATGAGAACTAAATCTTGAATTTTTTTTATAAGTACAATATTTTCAATATCATAAAATAAATATTGGGAAAATTAGTAACTCAATATGTGAACTTTGATTTGATGCAACCAATGGCAATTTTTATGGTTATAACTATTTAAAATATTAGTCTCTATTTTTATAAATAAGTAAAAGATTTAAATTATTTTAATCTTTATTATTTTTAAAAATATTAAAAATTTTAGTAATTTGAAATATTAATCCCTAAAATTTAAGATAATTTTAATTTTTATAATTTTATTTTTTAAAATAAATGAATTAATATTTTAAATGGTTGAAATACAAGAAGTTAAAAGTATAATACAAGTATTAAAATTATTTACACCAAACCAAATGATTAATTTTTCATATTTATAACTTAAACATAAAATTATTTGTTTCAAAACACCTAAAGAATAAACATGCAATAGTGTCATAAAATTATATTTATTTCAATATTTGCAAAATCAACATCTTCCCGTTCTTTTTTTGATAACAAAATATCTACCCGTTCTTTCTCTTTATTTCCCAATTTTTCGAAACTAAATCAGAGAAAAATCCGACTTTTGGACAGTAAATTTGGCAAAGAGCTTGTGTTCTGGAATTCTGTGGTCATCTTTTGATTATATTGCGAGCGAATTGGGTTGCACTGACGGAGCAGTGCGAGTGGAAAAGATGTTCAACAATTCTGTGAGGCCAAAATCTCTTTTTCGAAATCCTCTATCTCTTGATGTAGTATTCACCTGACCTTGTTTCTTTTCTATTATTGATTATTGATAATGCGTTTTTGTTTCCTGGGAAAATTAAAAAACTTTTTAGTCCAAGTGGTTAGTCTGCAAATTTAGCCGTTGTCTCCGGCGAGCAAGAACCCCAACGCGGCCACTGTGTTGTTGCTATCGAAGCCTATCTGTTTTTTGCTTTTTTGTTTTTGTAAATTAAGACATGAGACCTACATCTTCTACTTTCATTTGTATCCTTAGATTCCTAATTTAATCAGAAGATATGATAAAGCTCTGAATTTGAGAGATATTTAGCTAATTTTTGGGGTAAGCTTTATTTATATATCTATTTTTTTCCCCAGCTGATCATGCAAACGATGGTTTTGAAACTTCATAATCTATAACACAAGCTTTATTGGAAACATTGATAGGCATGTATTGACATTAATGAAGGCTTTCGGTGTAGTTGCTGATGCACAGATTGCTGTAAGAGTAATAATTGGATTCTGTTTTCCATTTTCTGGGCGAGAAACTATCACTTGGCTCTAAAATATGGTGGAAGGTGTGGCACTTAGCACTCTGGCAACATGTGGAAAGAGCAGACCTTGTGGATCATTTGCACCTTGGGGGGCACGTTTAAAGCCATTTAAGAAATCCCAAACAACCTATATCTATGACCGACACTGGGTCTGGAATCAAAGTGTGCAGATGTTGTTCTTAGATCCCTATGCATCAAGGCCTAGGGATTTTAAGGTGGAAGCAGGATGGATGTTTAGAGGTGGGGAGCGAGATTCAGATGCAAGTGTAGAGCGCAGTGAAAGTGCTAATGAAAATATTTTGATCTTCTTTTTCCAACTTGACTTGGCCACTCGAGTACAGGTTTGGCCAGATTTAGTTTTTACTCTTTTACAAAATGCTTGATAGTATTATCTTCTGCTTTGGCAAATTTGTACCGAAACCTCATTCCTCATTTTCTTGAACTTATGAGTGGCAGTATGCTTTAAATATGGAGCAATATGACATTGCACAGGATCTGAGGAACAAGCTTACAGAGGTTAGACTGCTCAACTGCTAACCCGTTTTTGCATCACACCCTCGTCTCTGTGAGTTGAACTGTTTTCAAGTTGTTGAAATGGAAATTTTGTTGTCGAGGTTTCTGACAACAATTTTTTTTTCTTGTGTAAATGTACATCTTCATGTGATCTAAATTTAGTGTAAACAACTTTGGACTTGTATGTGTTGCTATATATAAGTCTTCAGGTTATTTAAATTTTCTTCAAGTGAAGCACTAAACAGCCTGCAGCTTACTTGATAAATATTATTTTTGGAAGGTTGAGGCAGAAATTGTTAAGCGGCAAGATGCTAAAAGGGGATTGTCTTCAAAAAGTGAAGCTCAAGATGCAGCTCTGCGGATAATATCTCTTCGGTGAGTATATCACATCTTGTTGACCTTCTAACTACATGGTCTCCATGATTAATTAGCTTCTTTAATTAATGTAATGTGCAACTGTGCAAATTTCTAGATCAATGATATTGATATGTTTCCTTCCAGGTCAGATCTCCAAGACGCAATCAAGAGTGAAGATTATGCCTTGGCTGCTGAATTACGTGATAAAATTTCAAAACTTGAAGCACAGACTCTGGAGGCATCAGCTAAAGCTTTAGTATATGAAAATGTGCAATATGCATTTCGTTTGGGGCAGAAAGTGAAGCATAGAATATTTGGTATATAGTTGTCACATGTCCCTTTGTGTATGATTGATTTCATCGGGTGCATTTTAAATCTGCAGTAGAGCATTGTGTTTTTAAGCTATGTCAGCATTTTTTTTTTTATGGCTGTACTCTGAATAGTTTAAATAGCATAACTGCGAAAGTGATGATTATGTTGAGAATTTGATATTTTGAGATTGCAAAAAGTGTTTAAGCACTTGGGAATCATCTTGTAAATTTTAATTATCAAAACCGCCTAGATCAGTTGGGCACCCCCGTAAACATGTAGCCACAGCATCTATCAGTTTGATTCTCTTTTCCCCTTTCAACTATTTAATTTCTCAATATATTTTTCAGGCTATCGAGCTGTGGTATGTGGAATGGATCCAGTATGCTGTGAATCAAGTTCATGGATGGAAACTGCTCAGATTAAGAAATTGTCTCGGGGTTCTAGTCAGCCATTTTATCAGGTTTGATTTATTGTATCAGTTGAATTGCAACAGATACTTCTATTTCTATTAGGATCAATTTAATTTTTATCCTTTGGTTGTGACCTTTATAAGCTGTTGATTCTTCTTGTATTTTCATCATTTCTTTATTCTCATTTGTTAGTGAACCTGCCTAAATAAGCAGTCAACAAAAGTATGAAGCACCAAACTTGTCGTCTAACAACTCCATATAATACATACGACGCCATAATGTGAAAGATGGCATTGTAAAAGAATTCAGAGTCAGTTGTAACATATATAGATGTTTATCAACTTCTTGATGGTTTCATTTACCATTTGGTGGAATGAAAGTGTGCTTCTTTAAATTGTTTATATGCTTATTAAGCAGATTTTATATATATATATATATATATATCCTTTAAATGGATCAATAGAAGAATGGATAGAGGGTTTTAAATCCTATAGAGTGGGGATATTTTCCATTTTTTCAATGGTGAGAAGCATATTTCCATTTTCCCCTTTCATTATTATTTAATAAATTCGTGTTTCTTAAGAGTTGTTTAGGTCTTTATTTTTCTGTCCAGGTTCTCGTTGATGTACGTGCTGATCCGAACATACTGGTGGCATATGGTACGTCAGCTACTTAATTCCCTTTGTATGCGTATATTAATTTTCTTTTTGGTAACATAAATTTTGATCTTTTTTTTGGTGTCTTTCCAACTAGCAAAGTAATTATTTTCTGTGTCTTATCTGCGCATTTCACTGCTATGCAGTTTATACCGTCATGAGTTGTATGTTCTTGTTTTCTTGTTGATAAAAATGACTTGCAGAATAATTCTCCATTTTTCTGCAGTTGCAGAAGAGAACCTGTTAGCCCCTGATAAACCAGACAAGGTTAGTGGATTTATACTTAGGCGTACCTTAGCAACACCATTAGTTTCATAACTTAATTGATTCTCTTAACTCTGTCCAGGGCAGTTTTGATCATCCCTATGTCTCTTTTCTCTTCTATGGGATGGATACAGCTGGCGATTTCATCCCCATCAAGCAACTCCGTGAGAAGTTCAATAGACCTCGACATGAAGTACCTCTGGATGATGAGAATGGAGGCGAAATGTAAATCAACAAATATATATGTAAAAGTTGTAGGAAGCCGTATCATTTACAAGCCATGAACTATGCAGCTTATCTTAAGATCCATACAAATGCATAGGGTTCACCCTAGTTTCTAAGTAAAAGCCTTACTTGTTCTGTGTCTCTTTTCTGTGATCATTCGATTGGCTTTGGAGGACATTCCCAGGGGTAAGTAAACAAGTATTTGTATGATTTATCTCAATATTTATGTGTAACAACTTAGTTAAAAGAAGTCTATTTTTTGCTTTCAATATCTCGAAAAAGATAATTTCTATTGTCCGTGAAGGATGTTTATACAAGGATGTCTACATGTTGATCGGATCATTCACATATATTTCAAGTAATTTTCATTTTTTTCTACCTTAATTATGGGCATGGTTACCCTAGGAATGAGGTTACTTGTGAAGTTAGTACATAGTCACCATTGATCACTAATCAGTATATTAGTGTGATCGTTTCTTACCATGTCTAACCTTTTAACCATAATTCCATGAATCTTTGGAGAACTTGTGAACTACCCCCTCTGATTCTATTTATAGAGTAAAGAAAAAAAAATTTTTTAGTCTCATTTATAAGTCACATCATTAAATTTTTATCATAAATTTTTTTTGTTTACACTCTATCAAATATTGAAGAAAGAAAATGTTATTGAAGTGTGTATATTTAATAGGGGTAAAGTTAAGAATTTATTAAATTTTAAAATAAAGTTAATGAGTTTTAAAGTTTTTTTTAATACTGATGAAATATATTAAAAATAATTTATAAATAAGATTAAGGAATGTAAACCATCCTTCAAGTTCTTACTAAATTATCGGTTGTTGGTCTTTTTTAAAGAATTCATAAAGGAAATGAGAAATCAGTGTCAAATGGTGGTGATCAGTCTGAAGATAAGCATGATGATGTTAATAAAAAGTTGTTTCTCTGACACAAACTGTGATAACATCGATGTTTCCAGGAGTATCGTGTAATAGGAGTCAAAGACGATGATTTATTTTTGGGAGCAAAGCAAACATTATAAACTTGAAAGAACACTCATGCAGTTATTAAACGAAATCTTTGGATTAACAATATATGCAAATATTTGATTGTTGATTGAACATAATATTATCGTGTAATTTATATAGCTGATTTTACCTAATAAAACAAAACTTGTTCTTGTTGTTGGACAAAAGTTAAAGATGATGATTATTCCAAAGGCAATGGTAAAAATTATACAAAATGTCTAAGAACACCAAAAAAAAAAAATCAATTTGACAAGAATTTGGTGTTCGCCATAATTATAGTCATGTGATCAAACTAGTTATAAATATAAAAGATAAAATAAGTTATTTTATTCATGACGAAAAACACACCTTATTTAAACTTGGTATAATATATAGGAATTTACATGATTCCACAAGTAAATGTGACAAGAGTGCATTAAATATAAAGGTGAATGATAAATAAATTTCATCAAAATTGAAGAATGACAAATAAGTCCTACAAAATGGGATAATTATTTTGAAGCCTCTAAGGACTAGTTTGACATAATTGTTTTTGCAAAATCTTTTTTGACCCTTAGCAAAATAATAAAAAGCATATAACTGTTAAAACCTAAACTAAAATTATTAATAATATAAATAAAATTATTAATATAAAAAGCATAGTATTTTTTTATTTCAAAGAAGCCTCGTTAATTTATTTAGTTATATAATAATAAATATGTTTCTTATATTAATAACTTTAACTCAGTGACCAATAACTTTAATTTAAGTATTAACAATACAGTTGATTATAAGTTAAATTTAGTTAAGATATAACAACTATATTTTTTATATTAACACTTTACATTTATTATTAACAACTATATTATATACACACACATTATCATTCTCATCCTAAAATTTTGAAAATTATCATATCCAGCATATCATGTTTTACTGTATTTGATACACATACCCATATTAGTGCCACACACAAATGATTTATCTAATAATTTAATTAATTAATGTTACTTTTAAAAATTAAAAGCACATTAAATCCAAAGCACAAAAAAATTTAAAACAACACGCCTACCAAGTAGTAATGGAGGAAGAGAGACATGAAGGGGAGAAAACAAGTCATCCTACTCGGTGTGAGTTTTCTCTTCTTCTTTTTTTTGACTAAAAAGGGCATCATATCTCAAAAAAAACAAAAGATTACATTAAAGAAGTGATACTTATTACTAGGACTCTTTCATCATCTATGAGAGTGTTTGGTTGGAGGGAAGGAAAGGGAAAAAGTTTGGTCCCCTCCCTTTGTTTGATTTGAAAAATTAGAAGGGAGGGGAGGGGAGATTTTTAGTGTTGTCCCCTCCCTTTGTTTGGTCTAAAAAATTGGAAGGTTCAAAGGAGAGATTTTTTAAAATCTTAAAATTTTTCCTCCTCTCCCTTCCAAATTGGGGGGATTAGGAGAGGAGTAAAATTTTCTATACCTTAACCAATATTTTCTCAGTGATAAGTTTAAAAAATGCATATATACCTCTCTAGTATATCAACACTAATATGAGGGTAAAATTATTTATATATAATTATTTTTCCTCCCCTCTCTTCCTGAACTAAACAAAATAACATCAAATTATTCACTTCCCTCCCCTCAAACCAAACACACTCTAAAGTGGAGGCTTGATCAAAGGCCCATTTTTATGGAGGGGTGGAATTTTCCCAATATAGCCCTCCCATATTTTAAATTTTTTTTCAATTTTGTACCTGCACTTTTTAAATCTGATTTTTTTTTCCGGCAAATGAAATCCATTTTTTCATGTAAATTAATTTTCCAAACACCAATAATACGCTTTCTAAATACGTAATCAAACATGTATATATATCTATAATATATAACTTATATCTATGACCTATAAATTTATAAATAGTAAACTCTGTAAAAAAGCTTCTTTTTTATATCTAATATTTTCTTTTTATCATTTTTTGTTTACTTTAATTTTGTTAAACTTACATACTCCTTCCGATCATATTTATAAGTTATTTTTATTAACATCATCAATATTAATATAACAAAAGTATAAAAAAATAAAAGTAAGTAAAATTTTAAACATACCCCTCAAATAAAAAGCAAAGAACTTGTTTGGCAATTTATTTTGAGAACGGTTTTCTATTTTCTAGAACAAAAATAAAAAAAATCTATTTAAAAATGTGTTTTTAAAAAATGTTTTGGAGGACAAAAAAAATTAAATATTGTTTTGGAGAATATAAAAATAAAAATATTTTTTAAATATTCTGAAATTATTATCCTAGAAAAAAATATATAAAAAATACCTATTTTTATTATTTTCTTATTCTCAAAATATATTTTATAAAATATCAGTTTTCATAACAATAAATAAAAATGATTCCAAACAAGCTCAAAAAGAAAATACAAACCATATAATTTTTGCTTTTTTTCTCTCTCTTATTTTTTAAGAATAGTTTAAAATTTTTAATTTAAAATAAAATAATTTCATCGGCCAATAGCTTATAAAATAAATTAGATTGTAGTTTTTAAAAACGCCTAACATACAGGAATGGAGCGAGTAATTATCAAATTAACTAATGATATGCAACTTTTGGCCTTTATTTATTATTTTGATCAGATTTGGGATTGGGAAAGGCTGAATGAATTATTATATTTATTATCTTTGGTCTCTCTCATCGAATTGGGGCTGGTTCATGCTCGTCAGCTGAGGTGTGGGGAATTCTTTATTATCTTTGGTCTCTCTCATCGAATTGGGGCTGGTTCATGCTCGTCAGCTGAGGTGTGGGGAATTCTTTGGGGTTTGAAGATGACGTGGGACAAGGTTTTGAGAGTGACTGCTATGAGATTGTAGTTTTCTGGAAAAAGACTGGCAGATTGATACTCATCAATGTAATCGTAGTGCGGACGAAGTCGCCGACGGATATGCTTCATTTGCCGCAAGCATGATGACTGATACAGTGATTTTTGCATTCCCTCCTCAGTTCCGGAGAAGTGAAAGTGGAAGTAAAATCGTAGAATTTAGGTGTTTGGTACATTGGAACCCAGCTTCATGGCAATCAAAATCGATGGATTTTCATTTTTCTTTCGCCTCCACCTCTACTTATGCTTTCACCTTGTAAAAAACTCTTCCTTATTATCAAACTGGAGATTACATAATATTTGGGAGATTTTTTTTAGGGAGATAAAATGGAGTGGGATGATTAGAAGATATAGTCATTGTTTGTAAGTTTTTTTTTTTTTTAAAGAAGGATGGAATGGCAAGAAGGGTCTCTAAAGCCCTCATTTGCTATCCATAGTTTAATACTTTTTATCCTTTAAATTGGGGGTCAAAGATGGAGTTGTATAATATAATTATTTTATTTACAAAATTATTCCCAAACTTCTATCATAATAAAAAAAAATTTATCTGTCATTTTTATTCTTTAGTCATCTCTCTCATCTCCTGTTAGAGTTACACATGAGCAAGGTTGGGCCAAGCATCAACCCAACTCAGTGCCCAGCTCGTTGTGCACTTGGACATCAGGCTAGCCCAATTGGCCGAAAATATTTTTACAAGTATTTTTTGAAAAATATATAAAAAAGTTTTCCTTGACAAAAATATTATTATTATTATTATTATTTAAAATATATTCTTCATAAAACTAATATTAGAATCAAAAGTAATTTTTTAAAAGTTCAAATGAACAACAATTGCCATTTATTTTACATAATAATAAGTTAAAAATAAATTTTAAATTTTCAAAGAGATTTAAAAAATGTATGATAAAATATGTCTTAAAAGATCATAAAAATAATATAATTCATGATAATTTTAATAAAAAATAATTGCATAAAATAAATATTATTCACAAAAATTAAAAAAAAAAACTTGCACATGTTCAGACAAGGCAATGTCTGACCTCTGTCAATACTTGACCCCATGTGCCCAAATGCTTTTGGCAAGGCTAGGCTGATCAGGCATTTAGGCATAGTGCATAGCAATAATTAAAAGATCGGATGGTCAAATTGGTTCGACCATCGACCAAACTGGATTTTGGCTCGGTTAGCATGTAAAAATCATTTTGGAAGTTAAGTCAAATTGGGCCATTTTGGACCGACATTAGAACTAAGAATCAGGATTAAGCCTAGAATCAGATTCGGTTTTCAAAAATTTGACTCTTTAAAAAAATATTTTTTATCAAATTTTTTTTTTGAAAATGACAACTTTTGTTAATCATTTGATATTATATTTTATCGTGTGGCTTGTTAAGTCATGATAAAC